ATAATTATACCACTTCATTTAACTTCTACACGATTTACCTTACCACAAAAGCTGGATAGGCTCATTTTTGAAAATACAAAAAATATTTAACTTGTTATAACGAGATAACTATCTCGTTATAACGAATTAGAATCTCGTTATAACCAGTTATCATCTCATTATAACGAGTTAGTTCTTTCATTATAACGAGATAATTAACTCGTTAAATCGAGTTTATATCTCGTTTTAACGAGTTAGTCTTCTCGTTATAAAGAGTAATTATCTCGTTATAACGAGTTAAATATCTCGTTATAACGAGTTAATCTTCTAATCATAACGAAAAAATTAAGTCGTTATAACGAGAAAATTAAGTCGTTATAACGAGAAAATTAAGTCGTTATAACGAGAAATTTAAGTCATTATAACGAGAAAATTAATTCTTTATAACGAGAAAATGTTTTTATCTTGGCAAAAATGAACCTATCCGGCTTTTGTACAAAACTTTTTGAGAATGAGAAGTATGATTGATGTCTTGATGATTTGAAAAATTCTACAGTTTACAAAACAAAAGCACAGGTTAATTTAGGTGCCCTGTATAGCGTTGACTGTGAGTTATATATTATTCTTCGTACCAGCATAAAAACAAACATTGTAAAGTTTGCGTAATATGAGAGTGTGGTTTTTTTTTTCATTATTGCTAAGTAAACGTACACACATATATTTTAATCTTCATATCAGAAAATAATTTCACTCACCTATATTTTCACCTGTAAATGTAACGGGCTGAGACTCGTTCATGAGTAGAAAATTCATCCGATCCATAATCTTAAAAATCGAGTCTGACCCAACTTGCGTCTTGTGAAGAGAGAAATGTTTGGAATTATTATAAAAACCAGGTTCAATTTTCTGTTTTACAATTCAGTTATTATCAACTTAATCTATGAAAAGGTAAAGAAATACCTCGTCTTCAATAATCTTCCACGATTCCTTATTATATATAGCGAGGATATTGTCCATGATGCTGTATAAATCCTAAAACACAATAATTCAAAACTCTCCACAATATAATTTTTACACAGTTTTACATGTATAAGTTAAACATTATTTGATACACATTTCGAAATTTCTATGGTAAAGATGCATTATTTTAAGTTGTTATATTAAGAACAATATATGAGATATTTTCATGCCAGCGCCGATATATTTCATATTACACAGTTTCCTGATTTAGATCTCATTTGATATACATTTCTTACTCTCTCTGGTAAAGAAGCGTTGCTTCGTGTTACTATATTTAGAATTATATTAAGGATATTTATGCAGGCCAACAGATTTTCCGATGAGATTCCAGATCTAGTAGCAGTTATATTCTCTGTTACGCCTAAGGAATTATCAAAGATTTTTCCAATATACTCTTTATCAACAATGCCTTCGTTTTCTAGGTTTTGGAGCTGAAAATAGAAATATGACCAAAACATTGTGTTTTCTTTTCTAATCTCAACATTTCAGTATTGTTCAGTTCAGTTAAAAAAACCAAACCTCTTTCAAGGCATTGGACAAGTCTTCGTCCTCACAGTTTGATACATTTGTTTCTTTCCAGGTGCCATCATAATCACAATATCTGCTGGCCTTTCCTTGTTAAATTAAAATAAAATATTTTCCTTGTCAATAAAAGGAAATTCTATGTCTGCGTGTGTATATAAAAAAAAACTTGCATGTACCTTGTTTGCTTTCTATACACTCGGAATGCACTAAAGTTCCAGGAAAGGAAGTTGGCCAAAAAATTCCGTAGACGTCCATTGATGAAGGGCAAAGATTTTCTACTACAAATGAAATAGTACATCAAATAAAACAAATAAACTATTTACTATCAAAAATAATAGATGAACAAAATCAATAACATATCATTGAATTCTTACTCAGCCTATAAATGTCCACTACTACTTTTTTCACCCCGGATATCGGATATCTCTTGTGGTTACAGGAATATGTCCCTCTGTCACTCTCCTGAACAGAATGGATCTGCAGTATTTTAGAGGAGCGATGGGTCATAGTCGTTACCCGGTAATTTTCTGTTAATAAATCGAATGTGTTTTTCATTAACCTAGCACAAATTGATATTACTATCATATATTACAAACACAAGGTTACTATACTAGAATTTTGTATTAAATTATAATAAGAAAGTGTATGACTATTTTCTCTCGACATGAGGTTGATATTATCATGGAAATAATAAGTGTTTTGATTTTCAAGTTTTACCACAAGGTTACTTTACTAGAATTTTGTATTAAATTATAAGAAGAAAGTGTATGACTATTTTCTCTCGACATGAGGTTGATATTATTATGGAAATAATAAGTGTTTTGATTTTCAAGTTTTACCTTCCGGGAGTTTAATGTCATCTTTGTACCACGTCAACAGAGAAACGTTTATTGAAAACTGTAAATCCTCCAGATTTGTAATGTTACAAACAAGAGTTAAAGTTTCTCCCGTTTGTATGGAAACTCCGCCGTGTGGTAAGATCTCAATCTTGATTCCTGGCTTTACTGCAAGAACATCATACTTAGAAGTGATACAAAAGCAATGCCTCAAAACCAAAGCTTTTTTAAAAATATGTACGTGCATTGTGGCAACGCACTTTGAAAAATTTACGCACTTTGAAAATCTTTTTTAAAGTGCGTTAAAATTGGGACAAAATCAACGCACTTTGAAAAAAAATGTTCAAAGTGCGTTAAATTTGGGACACAACGCACTTTGAAAAAATATTCAATGTGCGTAAAGAGTGCGCATAAACATTTATACCATGGGGACATTTAACGAACTTTGAAAAATATTCATAAAACAAAAAAATCTACACTTAGATTCTAGTTATTGAGAGAATCAATTTTTAATAATTATATCTATCGAAAATCTTTGTAATTTACATGTACTCATTTAACCTCATTGAGAACAAGGAGAAGACGAGTAGAAGGTCTCTCAGCCCAACTCTGTTTTATTCTACATTGTATATAGCCGTCGGTATCAAATTGAAAGTGGACCCCCCCCCCCCCCCCCCCACACACACACACACACACCAAGGTAAGCCCCAATTTTCAATGCCTATATTATTTATGCATATCTTTGCAAAACACTTGTTTGCCTAAGCCCCCCTCCTGGTATCGATACCTATGCTACACCCAAATGTATGTATTTACATAACTTGCATGACGTTGAAAACTTTCAATAAATTTTAGTTTACTTAAAATGCATGCCAACTGGAAAAAATTAAGCACAGTAAACATTTAAGGGAGAAAGAATTTTTAAAGTATGGAAAAATCAAAATCGCTCACTTTCACAACCTGAAATGACCTCATCAAACTATCAAACAGGTTCAATTATTCATAATACCTAAGTTTTGCATAAATATTGACCAACTCATACACATTTTTTAAAGTGTGTTAATTTGGTCGATATCAACGCACTTTGAAAAGAAATTTTATTTTTTCAAAGTTGATATGGTCCCAATTTTAACGCACTTTGAAAATTTTTTTCAAAGTGCGTAATTTTTCAAAGAGCGTTGTAATAGTGCATTCGAATTCATTTTTGTATCCTATATTTAGTCAATATAAAATACTTGCCCTTTATATAAAAGTTGGTGGCGGCTTCTGAATTATTATTTGTGACTCTTACTGTCCAGGTTGCTGCAAAATAACCATATTCAAAACCCTTTAAACTTTTCAGTTTGCAATCTATTTTGAACATGATATTCATTGCTTCTAATCAAGATCTTACCAATTGGCATGGAGTGTATTTAAAATTTTATTCAACAAACGGATTTCTTCATATAATCGTTACCTTCATCTTGAAGATCTAGCTGTAAGATTGTGATCGAGCACTTCATAACTTCTCTAAACGATTGACGGATCAAGTACCTCCCAGAAGACGGTGTAACGGGAATTCCGTCCCTGAACCATTTCACTTCAAAATTTAATCTGATGTTGATGTCCACAGACATTGTCAGTGATGTGCCTTCAACTTCATGTGGAGAGGGAACGACTTCCTTACTTCTTATATAGATGATATCTGAATAGATGTTCATAATGAATAAAAAACCTTTTTAAAGAAATTAAAATTCATAGTCTGAAATTGAATAAAAATATGTAAATCTGAAACACCCATCCAAACACAAAGTATCATGTGACACAAATATATAAATTTTACAATCAACCAACAAAGTAACAACCAACAAACATATACATAGCAGTATAGAAAAAATCCTTTAATATTAAATAATCTTACCATTGTTGTAAACATCCACTATAACGTTTTCCATCCCTGATATTTGATATTTGTCATGATTACAGGTATATGTGCCTTTGTCACTTTCCTGCACAGGGTAAATCCTAAGTATATTTGAGGACTGATGGGTGGTGAAGGTTATCTGAGATTTGTCTGTTAAGATATATAAAAAAACATTAAATAGACATTAAATGAGCATGCAAAGAATTTAAATTACTATTTAACATTACAAATTTCTCTCACAGAATTCTTATAATATGGCGGTTCCTTTTTGTTTTAGTAAGCAATAAATTTATCTGTGATTTGAGTTTTACCTTCTTGTAGTTTAACACCGTGTTTGTACCACGTCAACAGAGAAACGTTTATCGAAAACCTTTGTAAGTCGTCCAGATTTGTTATGTTACAAACAAGGGTTAAAGTATCTCCCGTTTGTAGAGAAACTCCGTCGTGTGGTAAAATCTCAATCTGAATTCCTGGCTTTACTGAAAAGGAAATATGAAAGAAGAGTGATACAAAATCAATTCCTTAAAATATGCAATTTATTTATGGAATATATAAAATTAGTTAGCGCATTAAACAAAATTATAATACTTACCCTTTATATCAAAGGTGGCTGCGGCTTCCGAATTACCATTTGAGATTCTGACGGTCCAAATGGCTGCAAAGGGATCAGATTCAAATCTTTTCCGAATTTTCATTATTCAGTCAAATAAGTGATTATAATCGTTCTTCCACTGAGTGCAAGTTTTAACGTGTTAGCATGAAATTATAATGACAATTTTATTTAGTATAAAGATTCTTTTATTTAATCAATACCTTCATCTTCAGGAAGTAATCCTAAAATTGTGAGTGAGCATTTCGTCAATTCTATAGACTGGCGGATCAAGAATCTCCCAGAAGACTCTGTAACGAGAACTCCGTTCTTGAACCATTTCATCTCAACACTTAATCTGACGTTGATGTACACAGACATTGTCAATGTTGTGCCTACAGGTTGATGTAGCGAGGGATCCACTTCCTTTTTCATTATAAAGATATCTGTATAATTTTAGATTTATAATATACAAATTAAGATAAAACATGTCACAAGTCATGCATTAAAACATATACAGTGTATATGTAAGACATATAGGTCAATCAACTACCTACCCTACATGAAAACTTATATACTTTACGTACATCGACTAAATCCTTCTCAACAACAAATCTTTGCTTAATGAAAGTAAAACAGATTCACCAACTTTACAAAAACAGTGTTAAATACGATAAGTAAATTCAATACAACCTACCTATCAAAAATGTAAAACAAAATTAAATCAACTACCCGCACACTTCCAACACAGCATGATATTAACTAACCATTCCCTACCAACAAAGTATCTCACATTATACGTGAATCCACTACATCCACCCAACCAACTTAGTGCAATTCTTTGATGAGTTTATAAGTTTTTGCTGATATGAGTTTAATTCTAAGAAAGTAAGAGAACTTTAATCAAATCACCCTAGTAAATAATAGAAAATCATTAAAGGAAATGCAGCAGTTTTTGATAATGGAGATATATATTTATTTAAGACGTTTTAGCCCAAGGTACCGTGTTGCAGTAGTATCTGACACGAAAAAGATCCATCACAACTTAATGGCCCTGTGTGCGGAGTGATGCCAAGAGTGAAAAATCCTCACTAAAATGACAATAGACACTGTAAGGACAATTAGATTAAAGTCAATTATTTGCACTTAATGGATTTATGAACTGTAATTTTTCTGTATTATTTTCTGGAGAAATTGAATTTCTACCACATTCAGGAAACTTAAAAAAAATATATGCTTGACTAACTTTTAACATAAAAATATACCAGAAAGCCTTAAGAACCCTGACCATGGTTCTTCGTATTCTTACCCTGATTGTAGACGCCTACTTTAACGTTTCTCACCCCTGATACCCGATATTTGTCATGGTTACATGTATATATGCCTTCGTCACTTTCCTGGACGGGATATATCAGGAGTGATCTAGAGGACCGCTGGGTGGTGACCGTCATCCTAGAATTGTCTGTCATTAGAAAGATACCATATAAATCGGAGAACAAATTGAAATGTCTATAAAATTTTACATGAACTTGGCAATTTTATAAGATATAAATAAAGTTTGGTGCTTTCTGTAGATATGATGTTTGTGCTTACATTCCGAGTCTTACCTTCTTGTATTCTGACGTCATCTTTGTACCACGTCAACAGAGAAACGTTTATCGAAAACCTCTGTAAATCGTCCAGATTTGTTATTCTACAGTCAAGATATAAAGTATTTCCTGTTTGAATGAAAATGTCGTTATTTGGTTGGATCTCAATATTAATTCCAGGCTTCACTGTGAAAAACAAATACATAGAATGTATAATTTGAAGATAATAAAGACTGTCTATTCTAAAATACAGAAAACAAAACAAATTGCGAAAAGTAGAAAAGTACAAAAACATGGACCCCCTGGGAACACCTGAGTGGGGCCAGTACCTAGTAGGAGTATTCAATCTCTATTGACAAGTGCATCCGAAAAAAAAACCTAAGGTAATTTAACACGTTAACGAAGTATTCCTTAATAAAATTAAGCATAAAAGCATTGATCTAAAAAGATGGTACAGAATTATTAAAGAAAATACAATGCGTCAATAGGTTGTATAAAATAAAAAATCATTATAACATCCGTAAATTTCCGTAGATTTCAGTAAAGGTGACCTCAAGCAGGGTTGTTGAACTCCTTGAAACATTAAATTATTTGCCAGTGGCTTGCCCCTAGATCTGTTCAAATTTATTTCTACTCAGAACATGCTCTTGCGTGTCGAATAATGTTTGGAGACAAATACACCACAGGTGTTGTTGGAACACTACTCTATAAAACGGTACGATGACTAAAAAGCTGAAGTCATCGCTTTTGTTAAATATTTAGTAATCAGTTAACTATTATCATCTATAATTTTTAAAAAAAAATCAATTATGGAAAAAAGAAGAACTCATCTTTTTTTAATTTCGAGTACACAGAGGTGCCTTGAGTAAACACATGAAAGAGAGTGCCTTTTGATATACTAGTAATTATGTTGTATGTTGAAATCCACACAAAAAACTAAAAGAGAGTTTTCTTCTTCTCGTGTAGGTTTTTTTTAAAAAAGAATTATGCTTCAGAGAAATAAAAGCTATCGGCTGATAAGGAAATACAATAAATGCTCATATAAATTGCAACAAGCATGCAAAATATTCAAGATGAAAATTAATCTTCTATGTATGTAGAGGTAGAATGCTTAACAGAAGTCATAGCATGCATTGTACTTATCTTTTGAGTATGTTACAAGTTACTGCATTTAGTATTTACTAACATAGAATTCTTACCCTTTACATGAAAGTTTGTGGAAGCTTCAGAATTATCATTTGAAGCTCTGGCGGTCCAAACAGCTACAAAAGCAATAAAAACCAAACTCTTAGAATATTGTTCAATCAACTTCTTTATCTATCGTGTTGTATTGAATGCTTGAACGTATTTTTATGAAAAGTGTATAACATTTTCATTCAGTAGAAATTGATAATTATATGTATAACCTTCATCTTGAAAATCTAGCTGTAAGATTGTGAGTGAGCATTTCATAACTTCCATATATGGCTGGCAGTTTGTGTAGCTCCCAGAAGACTGTGTGGCGATAATTCCATTTCTAAACCATTGAACCCCAAAATTTATTCTTACGTTGACGTATACAGACATTGTCAGTCGTGTTCCTTTCACTTCATGTAGGGAGGGAAGCGCTTCCTTTTGCGTTATTCGGATAATTTCTGAATAGATTTTTTTATACAACATAAAATAATTAAGAACATGATAATATTAATGTATAAAAAAGTAAACTATAGCCTATTAAATAAAATACACTATATGAAGTTACATAGCTAAACCAATCTCAAGCACCTTATCAACAACAGCGAATCTATTAATGAATTATCAAATAATAAAGTTAATCGTCCACTGTCTACATACTAACGCCAGTAAATTGTAGGGTTTTGAAATCAGTAACTTCATAGCCTTACCCTGGTTATAAATGTCCACTACTACGTTTTTCACCCCTGATATCGGATATCTCTCGTGGTTACAGGTATATGTCCCTCTGTCACTCTCCTGAACAGAATGGATCTGCAGTATTTTAGAGGACCGATGGTTCGTAAAAGTTTTCTGAGAATAACCTGAAAAAGACATTACGTAGAAAAAAGAAATTACTATTTAATGATACATATACTGTGCTATTTTACCAATAATTTCTAATTAAATTTCTAATAAGATACTGTCTCTAGCCATGATTAACACTACAATTCTCAGAATTTTGCGTTTTACCTTCTTGTATTTTGATTCCATCTTTATACCACGTCAACAGGGAAACGTTTATCGAAAACCTCTGTAAATCGTCCAGATTTGTTATGTTACAAACAAGAGTTAAAGTATCCCCTTTTTGTATGGAAACTCCGTCATGTGGTAAAATCTCAATCTGAATTCCTGGCTTTACTGAAAAGAAAATATAATAAAGAAATGATACAGTTGCAACACTTCGAAATGTAGTCTGTTATTTGGTTTGTGAATATGTAACAATATATTATATCAATTAAAGATATTATAATAATATTATATTAAAAATATCATATTTTATAATACGATTTAAATAAGGTCTTTGTTTCCTCTGCTACAATTTTGTACTGTTTATTGGACATTTAAGCTTGAATATTGTGCGTAATCTTCATATATTTCATGTTACAAATATACAACACTTGCCCTTTATATGAAAGTTGACAGCGGCTTCTGAATTATTATTTGAAACTCTGACGGTCCATAGGCCTGCACAAGAATAAAATCAAAACTATTTACAATACTAGTAATAGATACTGGTATTCAGTATTTTTTCTGAGTCATGATACAGTATAAGATTTCGCTTCAGCTAGAGTATTCATTGATCTGTAAATTGAAAAAAAAAAGATTCCATTATTTTATAATCACGCTCTCCATAAATTCAAATTAGCATATAATGACCACAATTATTTTATTAATGAAAGCTTAAAGTACCTACATGATCAATCAAACTACGCGGAATGAGTGTTTTCAATATCTATGTGCAACTTATTTTACCATTGTGGGTACCAAACACTTGACAAGGTATTTAGTTTTTATAGACATATGGCAATACATTCAGAGAAGGCTAAAATGTCTGTTTGCCCTTCCCGACTCGTGCAAAAAATCTTTGGGCGGTAGGTAGGTGACATTTTCATTTTCTTAAAAAAATTCATAACATTGCTTAATATTTTTGCACACGTCACAAAAACAATAATTGCTTTCAAGCGGTTAAAAGAAGTCGGTCTGAAGAGAGTTAACAACCATTTTAGCTCACCTGAGCCGAAGGCTCAAGTGAGCTTTTCTGATCACATTTTGTCCGTCGTCCGTCCGTCCGTCCGTCTGTCCGTCCGTAAACTTTTCACATTTTCGACTTCTTCTCAAGAACCAATGGGCCAATTTTAAATAAACTTGGTACAAAGCATCCTAAGGTGAAGGGGAGTTTAAATTGTTAAAATGAAGGGCCAAATCCCCTCCAAAGGGGAGATAATCAAGAAAAGACAAAAATACGGTGGGGTCTTGTAAAAATCTTCTTCTCAAGAACCACTGGGCCAGAAAAGCTGAAACTTATATGGAAGCATCCTGGGGTAGTGTAGATTCTAAATTGTTCAAATCATGGCCCCCGGGGATTGGGTGGGGCCACAATAGGGAATCCAAGTTTTACATAGAAATATATAGGAAAAAACTTTAAAGATCTTCTTCTCAAGAACCAGTGGGCCAGAAAAGCTTAAACTTATGTGAAAGCATCCTAGGGTAGCCTAGATTCTAAATTGTTCAAATCGTGACCCCCGGGGGTTGGGCGGGGCCACAATAGGGAATCAAAGTTTTACATTGAAATATATAGGAAAAACTTTTAAAATCTTCTTCTCAAGAACCAGTGGGCCAGAAAAGCTGAAACTTATGTGAAAGCATCCTGGGGTAGCCTAGATTCTAAATTGTTCAAATCGTGACCCCCGGAGGTTGGGCAGGGCCAAAATAGGGAATCAAAGTTTTACATTGAAATATATAGGAAAAAACTTTAAAAATCTTCTTCTCAAGAACCACGGGGCCAGAAAAGCTGAAACTTAAGTGGAAGCATCCTGGGATAGTGTAGATTCTAAATTGTTCAAATCATGACCCCCGGGGGCTTGGCGGGGCAACAATAGGGAATCAAAGTTTTACATAGAAATATATAGGAAAAATTTAAAAAAAAATTTTCTCAAGAACCATTGGGTCAGAAAAGCTGAAACTTATGTGGAAGCATCCTGGGATAGTGTAGATTCTAAATTGTACAAATTGTGACCCCCAGGGGTTGGGTGGGGCCACAATAAGGAATCAAAGTTTTACATAGAAATATATAGGAAAATTCTTTAAAAATCTTCTTCTCAAGAACCAGTGGGCCAGAAAAGCTGAAACTTATGAGCAAGCATCCTGGGGTAGTGTAGATTCTAAATTGTTTAACTCGTGACCCCCGGAGGTTGGGCGGGGCCACAATAAGGAATCAAAGTTTTACATAGAAATATATAGGAAAATTCTATAAAAATCTTCTTCTCAAGAACCAGTGGGCCAAAAAAGCTGAAACTTATGTGAAAGCATCCTGGGGTAGTGTAGATTCTAAATTGTTCAATTCATGACCCCCGGGGGTAGGAGGGGCCATAATTTGGAATCACAATAGGTTATTACAAGGGGGAAATCTGGTAAAGAACAGCATGGTCAAAGCTACTCAGGTGAGCTATGTGGCCCATGGGCCTCTTGTTTAAAAAGTCCTTTTTCAAAGTCTTTTAACGGCCCATGCTTTAATGAATTAACAAATCTTCCAACTTTTTAACTAAGCACTATAGTTCATATAATGATTACTTTCTGCTGAAGGATACTATTTTGCAACGCTGAATTGCCGTACTGGCATACAATGGACATACCTTTTCAGCGAATTCGCAAAACTGCAATCTTAATTAATCTTTTACACTCTATTTATTGTTCTTCTACTGAATGCTTTTATGAATTGACACTTGGGTGTGTGTAACATTTTATTCAATTCAATTCAAATTTTCTCATTAAATATTACCTTCATCTTGAAGATCTAGCTGTAAGATTGTGAGTGAGCACTTCATCACTTCTATTAAGGATTGGCGGATCAAAAATCTTCCAGAAAACGGTGTAACGGGAATTTCATCCCTGAACCACTTCACTTCAAATTCAAATGCAACATTTATGTCCACAGACATGGTTATTGTTGTACTTTCGACTTCATGTGGAGAGGGAATCACTTTTCTTTCAGTTATGTTGATGATTTCTGTTTAATTGTACAGAAGTCTGGTTAAAAAGGATAAGATCTGGTAAAGCAGAAAATAAAGATCTTTGGGGTTCTTAGAATTATGATGGTCGCAAAGGTAGTAAGGGTAAGAAAGGTTATCTTATAGATATTTCCCTGAAGAGTAACAAAAAAACTTGCACAAAAAGTTTTACATATCAAAACGTCGAGAAATTGACAATCATATCATCGCCACAATCCGTAAGGATCGGAAAGGCTTATTAGAAATATTTTGGGTATAAAGACATCATGTCAGTTACCACAATAATAACCTGAGCATCACAGCATCTATAGGGTGAAATTTTGATACTATCATCTGAAGATTTTGGATGATGCAAATTTGTTTATCATATCTATGCACTTTTGTTATCAGTTTTTTTTTTTTATCCAGGAGTAACTTATTGGTACTAATTTTGATAGTTATTTAAGTTAATATTTCAGAAAGTTGCTTTAAAAAATCTTTTACCTGGCTTTGGATTTGGCCGGTCAAAAAGCCATAGAGATGAAAAAGAAACATCATCACTGTGATCATTTCCAACCGAAAATGAATCCTCAAATGGAGTAAACTTAGTGGAGTTCTTCATGATGGTATTAGTTCCCACGATTTTACCTTGTCCAACCTGTAGGCCTGAATCTCCTCCCCAAGATATCCAAAAGTCTCTGAATTCGGCACAGTTTAAGACTCTACCAAAAAATACATCAGAAATGCAGTCGTCGATGTTGTCAATACTTACCGAAGTACTGATACAGGAGACAACAATACTCCCTTCTCTTACGGGAGTATCGAACAAAATCTGTATGAAAGACCTGTCTTCATTTTGGAACCCAATAATAGCGCGTTCGCAGGCCTTGACGGAAAAACTCAAGTAGTTGTAACCAGGAACGGGAAGTTGGTGTTCCCACAGTACCGTATATATTTCAGTAGAATGTCCTCTCGAGGTGTGGCATATCTCCACAAAATCTTTCATGAAAAAAGACAATATCAGTTAACAAAAAAGACATGTTAAATTCCTAGTCATTTAATGAACATTTATTAAGTTCTGAGTTCGATCTACTCGTTACTTTAAGGACCTGGTCAGGTATTGGTTAATCATCGGTCAACCAATACCTGATCAGCTCAATACAGTCACGTGTAAACCTCATCAGAAGTCAATAATCGTATAAAACAGACCAACATCCTTGCTTGATCGCTATCATTTTCTGTGTTTGAGGTCAATATCACTTGACATGGGTCCTTAAAACTAAATATCAACCTTATTACAGGTGAACAGTAAAGGAAATTGCCTCTCGGTAGAGAACACATTTTTCAACAAGAACAATACCCCTTTGCCAATGCTATGAGTCTAATTTGTTTGCTTGATGTTCTGCTGGAGATGCAGAGGCTTTCAAAAAAAAATTAATGAACGATATATGAGTTTAAAGCCAACTAATAACCCCAAATCGTGAGACCATGACTTACAATTGATGAAGAAGAAGGCTTGATGCTTATTCCATTTATGTCAACAGTGTCCTAGAAATCCAAGAGTGAAAGATTTTTAAAAATTTGAATTGCATTGATTTTAATTTTTTGGTTTTACAGGGACGAGTTGTTTCACTTGAATCATAGATGCTACATACAAAATTAGTTTAAATTCGTTCTGCGCTTCCAGAGGAGCTGTGAATGTTCAATCGTTGACAAACGAAAACGGTCAAATATAGATAGCAATCTGTCATCCGAATGACTCAGATATCGTTATAAGTATTTTTATCAAAATTGTTTTTCAATAACTCTTATACACTTCATGAAAACAATAAGTATGGCACGCCAAATTCACAAAAATGAGATAATCATAGTTTCACAATTGATAAACTAGGTTTATCGACTGTAAACTATAGTTTACAAACCGTAAACTATAGTTAACGATTCGTTAAGTATAGTTTTCATCTGTAAAACTATATTTAACGGTTGTTAACTATAGTTTACGAATGTTAATTTAAGTTTATCTGCCTGTAATAAAACGTTAACAATAGATTTTGTTGATAAACATAGATTCACGTTTGTAAACTATAGTTTACAATCGTAAACTATAGTTAAGAGTTGTTAATCATAGTTTCACAAATTGTGAAACTATATTTATCAGATCGTTAACTATAGTTAACGGTTTGTAAACTATAGTTTACAAATCGTTAAACTGTATTTATCAGATAATCTATGTTTTGCAATGGCAAATGATTGTTTTCGGTGTTAAGTATAGTTTACGGTTGTGAAACATAAATTATCGCGTTAACTATGGTTTACAGATGTGAAATATAGATTAACGTTGTTAACTATAGTTTACGGTTTGTAAACTATAGTTTACAACCGATAAACCTAGTTTATCGATTGTGAAACTATGATTATCTCATTTTTGTGAATTTGGCGTGCCATAAATAAGAGATGATTAGATCTCACATATAATATGATTTATAAAAGAACCTACCACTCCGTACAGCAGAGCCATAAAAGTTCCAACTTGTATCAAGTTCACTCTGAACAGATGAGAAATTAACACTCATTGGATTGTAAATCCGGAGGTCCATTATGACGTCTTCTCCTTGTATTCTTCCGCGTCCAACCTTTAGTGTGTCAAACCAAGAAATCCACAAATTTGGAAATTTTTGGTTATATAAATCAATACCATCGTATCTTTCCAGACAAGCACCCGTTACATTCATTTTTCTTATGCAAGCATAAGGAAAAAAGTAGTTTGAATCAAATGTAACAAAAATACGTTCTCCATCTGTTGAAACTAGTTCTATATTTATAGAATTCGGCAGCTCTATCGTAAAAGTGTTTGATGGAATATTGACTGAAAAAGTCATGAATTTATCCTCTGGGTTGATTATTCCATATTTAGTCAAGCCCTTGGTAACTGAAGGTTGACTGCAAATCTCGACATACTCTTCGTCTGCAAATATAATTTTTAATACATCTACTAAATGGCTCTGATAGATTGATTACTTAATGGCTCTGAAAAAGTAATGTTTAGAACTTAGAATTATTGTGGCAGGTAAGATACCACTTTGATAAAATATGAAGAAAAAAACACTAACGAAAGTAAAAACGACGAGACAATGTCGTAAAAAATATAGATATCAACTGTTCACCTGAATGATTCAAATGAGCAAAAAATATCAGAGAAGACTGAATACCCGTAAAAAAGACCAGTGAGAAGCCATGGTGTCCAGAAGTTGAGTTGTGAC